GTCGCTTGGATCAATTCGACCACCTTAGAAGTGAAAGATAGGAGTCTCGTTCCTATTGAATTCGTGGGATACAAGGAGAAAATCTGGTGTGATGTGTTAACTATGGATGTTGGCCAAATCATCCTCGGCCGCCCCTGGCTGTTCGACAAAGATGTACACATTTATGGTCGATCAAACACCTGCGTGTTTGAACACGAGGGCAAGAAAATCAAACTCTTACCCACCGAGCCCAAGTCTGCCAAAGAGGATGTCAAGCCCAATTCCATTAAACCCAACACAAGCCTGAATCTATTAACTATTAAAGACTTGGGTACTGAATTAGAGGCAGGATCTCCCTTCTACGCCTTGGTAGCTCGAAAAGTGAATGCAACCCAGGAAGAGCCTGTCCCTGAAGAAGTAAAACCAATCCTTGACACCTTCGCTGACATTTTCCCTGAAGATTTGCCCAACCAACTTCCACCATTAAGGGACATCCAACATGTTATTGATTTAGTACCCTGAGCTTCCTTACCCAATCTCCCCCATTACCGCATGAACCCTGCTGAGCATGCTGAACTCAAGAGACAAGTGGATGAGCTGTTGAAACGTGAATTTATTAAGGAGAACCTTAGTCTGTGTGCTGTTCCCGCCCTTCTAACCCCCAAGAAGGATGGATCGTGGAGAATGTGTGTTGATAGTCGCGTTATCAACAAAATCACAGTTAAGTATCGCTTCCCTATCCTGCGTTTAGATGACATGTTAGATATGATGACCGAGGCGCCCCTATTTTTCAAGATCGATCTTAAAAGTGGTTACCATCAAATTAGAATTTGCCCGGGAGACGAGTGGAAAACCGCTTTTAAAACCAAGGATGGATTGTATGAATGGATGGTGATGCCTTTTGGTTTGAGTAACGCACCTAGCACTTTTATGAGAATGATGACTCAAGTCCTCAGACCATTCCTCGGAAAATTCGTAGTGGTTTAATTTGATGATATCATGATCTATAGTAATTGATGGAACAACATTTAAATCATCTGCAACAAGTTTGTGAGATTTTGAGGAAGGAACAGTTGTATGCAAATCCTAAGAAGTGCATGTTCCTAACTGATCACATCACCTTTCTTTGAATTTATCATTTCATCCCAAGGCATAGCCGCTGATCTTGAAAAGGTGCGAGCAATCAATGAGTGGCCTGAACCCAAGAACATCAGAGATGTTAGAAGTTTTAACGGATTGGCCACGTTTTATCGAAGATTCATTAGGAGTTTTAACACCATAGTGGGTCCGATAACTAACTGCTTGAAGAAATGGGAGTTTCAATGGACGACGTCTGCCTCTAAAGCCTTTGAGAAGATAAAAAGAAAAATGGTTGAAGCACCAGTCATGCGTCTGCCAGACTTTTCTAAGGTTTTTGAAGTGACTTGTGATGCATCTGGCATAGGCATAGGAGGAGTATTATCTCAGGAAGGACACCCGGTTGCCTACTTTAGTGAAAAGTTAAATGACATTAGGCAATGATACTCTACCTATGATAAGGAATTTTATGCTATCATTCAGTCCCTCGGGTATTGGAGACCTACTTGCTTCCCCAAGAGTTTGTGATTTTCTCTGACCACGAAGCCTTGCGGTATATAAACTCCCAAAAAAAACTGAACGCACGACATGGTCGTTGGGTTGAATTCCTTCAAGAGTACACCTATACGATTAGACACAAGGCAAGATTTGAAAATAAGGCAGCTGACGCCTTAAGTCGTCGGATCATGGTCACTAGGGAGATGAGGACTGAAGTAATTAGATTTGAACAAATCAAATAGGCTTACATGGACTGCCCCGATTTCAAAGAAATGTACGCATTGTTAACCAATGGGAGTGAGCGTATGATTGATGACTTCCTTTTAGAGGATGGATATTTGTTTAAGTCCCGAAGAATCTGCATCCCCAATACTTCGCTTAGAGAATTCCTTGTTTGCGAACTAGACGCGGGAGGTTTAGCAGGGCATTTTGGACAAACCAAAACCATCGCTGCTGTGGAGCACCGATTTTTCTGGCCTAGTCTTAAGCGTGATGTCAGTAGGTTAGTGAAGAGATGTCACACTTATCAGTTAGCAAAGCAACGTAAGAAAAATACTGACTTTACACACCCCTACCAGTACCCAAATGCCCATGGCAGGATGTTAGCATGGACTTTGTTTTAGGGTTACCCAAAACTGTGAGTAAGCATGACTATGTGTGTGTGGTAGTTGACCAATTCTCTAAAATGGCTCACTTCCTCCCGTGCTCCAAAACTTTCGATGCTTCTAGGATCGCCAAACTGTATTTTGACGAAATCGTTACTCCACGGGCTACCCAAGACTATTGTGTCAAACCGAGATGTTAAGTTTACGAGCTATTTCTGGAAAATCTTATGGCACAAGATGGAGACCAAACTTCAATTTTCTACTGCTTTCCATCCCCAGACAGATGGACAAACTGAGGTTGTGAATAGGAGTCTAGGAAATCTGTTAAGAACCTTAGTGGGAGAAAATATCCAGAATTGGGATTCCAATTTGTCTTTAGCTGAGTTTGCCTATAACAATTCTGTTAATCAAACTACAGGTCTAAGTCCCGCCAAGATTGTATATGGATACCAACCTAGACAGCCTATAGATTTGATCCCTATGGTAATTTCTTCTTTTATATTTTTATTTGTGTTTCCCCATCCTCCTTCCCTTCCCCACCCGCCATCCCCTTCCAAGTCCAACTCAACCAATTACTTAACCTCTCCCACCCACTTCATCCTCTAGCTCCACCACCCCAAGTCCAACCACCATCCAAACCCACCTCAACCCGACGGCAAATCCCCCTTGACCGCCGGCCACATACCCATTAATCAAGCCATTGTGATGATTTCAATCATCATAATGACTCCCTAATTTAGATCTAGCATTAAAGGAAGAAATTATTTGAATTTTGAAATTCAAAACTTTCCTTATTTGTGAAATCTAAAAAAAGTAAAGTTTTCAAAATTTAAATCCATTCGAAATTTAATTTTGGAGGATTCATTATTTTCCCGCCTAGTTGTCATATATTGTTTGGAAAGAGCTTTAACTCCCCCATGAACCCCTTCCCCTCTCACTCCATGCCGCCGGCCCCATCTATGGCTTCCCCCCCATTAATCCTCAATCAATGCCTTAATTACAATTAATTTGAAATCAAAATTCAAATGATTTCCCTCCAAATTTAATCAAAATCTGAGATTAATTTCAGATTTAGATTAAACCACACCCCCGCCCTAACCTAACCTAAGCTCTTTCAAAACCTAGCCTCCTCCCCACCTCTCCAAGCCGTCCCCACCCCTCTCCCTCCTATTCAAGCCGTCGGCCTCCCTCTCCACCACCCTTTTCTCTCTTTTTGTCTTCCTCCTTATGTTCTCTCCTCCTCATGCTTATGGTGCATGGCCGATCCTGAGGTCGATCACGGCTTCACTTACAACTACCGAGGGGAAATCGACATCCTCCTCTCCCCCTTCTACAAGCCTGACTGGGAATACGGCGAAATGGTAGAAATATAAGTCAAGCGCATCCTCTACTGCTTAGCGGAGACGATCGATCTCCAAAAACCTAAGATGCCTTGGCTTCTCATTGGGAGATCTACCCCTTCTTCGTCCGTGGCTACCTCTTCATCAACAAAAACCTTCGGTACCATCTTCCTAGTGGCAGTTTCTCTCATCGTATGCTTCATCTTCATCCGCTAAAGCCTAAGAGTTATTGAGCGAGTATGAACTCTTAAGTGACCATATCTTGATGTTACGCTGTAAGTTCTTGATTACTTGTTATTAGTACTACTATTTAATTTTGTTGTTATTGCAACGGTCTTGCTAACCTCTTGTAACGGCTTACCATTATCTAATCTTCCAACGAAAAGTTCTAAGAATTTAACTTGATTGAAGCATGAGTTACTAATCAGCAATGCGCAAATTCAATCATTATTGTTACAATCCCAAAGCAACTCTTCGCATGTTTGTTTTACATCATAACTGCTTATCATCCTTAAACAGATGGCCAAACCGAAGTCCTCAATCAATGTTTAGAGTAATATCTTCGTGCTTATACATCTACCACTCCAAGGTTGTGTTCTACCTTTCTCTATTAGGTAGAATTGTATTATAATACATCCAATCTTCCATATCGACTATATTATTAATCTCGTAGCATATCGACTTACATTACCTCCAAAAAACAATATTCATCCAGTCTTCCATATTTCAGTTCTAAAACCTTTTAAAGGTGATCTGTCGCCTGCACCCCTACTAACTTTCAGTTACAAAAATTAGCCACTCAACAATTCTAGCTTACTGCTTTATTAAACTTCACAGCCAACCTTACCGGCATGTACTTTTACAATGAACACTAACTACTCTTGAAGACGCAACATGTGAGAATTTTTCAGCGCTTTGTACTTCTTTTCCATCTCTCAACCATAAGGTTATTTTTCATGGTATTGGGAGTGTTAAGCACCAATATATTCATTTAGATCCAACTACAGTGCAAAAACAATGTAAAGATTGGGTCAAGAGCTTAGAAGAACAAGTTAAAGTAGTAATACACATATATTTGGGTTTATCACCGAAGAGGAAGGAAGCAAAACAGAACAAAGGAGCCCTCACAAGCAGCTACCGCAAACTAGCCACAAATTAATAGTTAAAGTTATATTTTAATTATCATCTTTTAAAGTCTCTTTTAAGTTTCAATTCCTTTGCAACTTTATAATCTGTATCATCTCCATTTCACTTAACTAATGACATGCATATCATATGTGTGTCATTTGATTATTTAGATTATTTCACTCAAACACACCATGTGATTGATATTTTTTTGACTCATGTTCGGCCTGTGTTGTGTCCTCCATGCGTCGGACATTATATGCTTTGATATTATAAACTGCCGTCACTCATAGCTTCTATATTAGCATGGCTATCGATGTGAATCTTTCAGTTACTATTCAAATAAATTCAAATGCATAAAAAAAATCAAGATTACCTGATGAGACTGGTTACGCCTCCTTTGAAAAGCATGAAGATCATCCTCTTCCTGCAACAATGACCACCCAATAGTCGATTCAACCTGGTCATTGTGTCATAAGGGAAATTATAGCCAACATTAAACTACCCCAAGAAGGTAGAGATTGGCAAATTTTAGATTAATAGACCGATAGAACTAAGCAATTTGGCATTAAATACAATATGAATAAATATTATAGTAGCATTTTATCAGAGAAAAATAATTAAACAACCTCTGTAGCTCCCACTGGTGGTGATTCCAGATAGAACTGCTCTTGGAGCTGGCGAGCTAGTACCTCATCTGATTCAAGTTGTATAGATCTAGCAATAGATTCATCAGAAAGTTCATGATTTTCCACTTGGGTGTTACCGTCCAATTCATCAATCTCCACAATAGGTGCTAATGAATTATCAACTTCCACTGATTTCCGACTTCTTGTTGATCGTGGAAATGAATGTTTCAAGGACGTCCGATCATATGATATCCTTGGGCTATCAACAGCTGAGTTCGAGCATTCACCGGCACTGGAATGTGTGAAGTTAATTTTCCGTTTACCTGTAAGTTGTGGAGCTTCCGAGTTCAATTTGAAACATCCTTGAACTTGGGTAATATTTTGACCAGATTGGGAGGTAGCTTCTTCAGATATGTATGTAACAGATGGAGCATATTTTGTACAACCCTTTGCAATTTCACCTCTGGAACTAGATAAATGACTAGACATATTCTCGGTCTCAGAAATACAGGCAGCATGAGAGGAAGGAAGAAGAGATGAACTTCCCTCCTGCTTATGTGTTGCTGAATATCCATCAATCTGAATCCTGCCACTGTCATAATCCATGTCTGAAATCACTTCCTTTTGAGGCATCAAGGATCTGTGAACAGAACAAGTACAGACAAAGCAAAATAATGAAAAGAATAACGTTATGTATCTATATCCACATATACACACACCTATATCTAACTAAACGCATAAGCACGTAAAAAACTCCTTAAGTTCCAAAAAAATGGATACTGTGACAATAACAAGCAAAAAATGTTACAATCTAAACCATTTTGAATAAGCAATTAAGAAACCAAGATTGTGAAAACCGGACCGGACAATGAACCGGAAGGAAATGTTTACTGTTCGATCGATCGAACTGGGGTCCAATCGAATGACGAAATAAATAATAATATTATTAAAATTTAAACATACCTAAAAGAGCAATAAGGGAGGAAGGGCTCGGACATACCAACGGCGCCCTCCATCTACTTCATTATTAGCAAGCCTTTCTTAACGTTCATTAAAAAACATGCTTGATCATCTTCTCTAGTGGTCTAGCTTAATCACTGCCTTGATATACTGAATTTTTTGCTTTCCTTTAGCAAAAATATTGGCTTTTAAGGGTAATCAAAATGGCAATTTCTTCCTCCAAATAAGCCATAAGAACTAGAATAGTGCCTTTATGAAAGCTTCAACCAACTCTATTAAACTTGGACAACAAAACAACCAATTTCTTGTGAAGAAGAATATTTAGTATGGTTTATCCTAATAGAGCTCTTTAACTTAACAAAAAAAAAAAAGAATTAGATCTTGGCAATTATCAACTCTAATAATAGTTTATCTGATGTAGAACATACATGTAAAGATGAGTTGATTAAGGAATTTGCACGTTTTAAATTTAGAGAGCAATAATAACCAAACTTATATTGATTTAACGACAAGATAAAACAATAAGGTGATAAAATAAGCTTAGGCCAAATCATATGCGTAGAAGTTAAGATCATAAAATAGTTAATTAATTTAACGTTACATAAATGGAAGGTTTTCAACAAAATACCTATGCTAACAATAAGAGTAGTCACTATGCAAGGGTCCCTTACTCAACATCCTAAATGACTATGCTTTAACGGAGGGATCAACAAGAATCTTTGCGAATCAAACTATAAACCACAATTGAAAGGTGAATTAGGAAGACATAAGAGTAGGAGAAAAAGTTTACCCAAGGGAAAGACAAGTACGGAGCTCCGGCGTGGTCGTTTGGATGCTTTGGAAATGAATGGACAGCGGCACGAGCCTCCTAGCTGTCTTGGGACAGCATTTTGGCAATCTGCAGGCCTTGGACAGCAGCCGGAGACCTTTCCAATTGGCAGGGCAGCAAAGGAAAGGTGCAGAATCCTTTGGACAGCAACTCTGACAGCAGGGACAGCAGTTTTGGGCTTGTGGGAGAAGCTGGACAGCAGTTTCACAGGCCTCAAAATTCTAAACAGCAACCACAACAGCAGGGGCAGCAACTTTGGGCTTGTGGAAGAATCTGGACAGCAGGTCCACAAGCTTCAAATCCTGATGGCAACTCAGTTCACGAAAATCAGGTCTTGGCAGATCCGTTGAAGGGAAGAAGATGGAGTTAAGAGCTTTCCTTATGGATCTCCTCCTATGAATTAAATTCAGGAATTAATTTAATTGGGGTGAGGGAATTAATGAGATGGGGATTAAGGGGATTGGAGAGAGGAAGTGGGCTAGTCATACATGGGGATTTAATTGGGGGGATTTAGAATTCCTTTTCAAACTTAGGTTGCTAATTGTGGAAAGAGAATTAGAGAGAAATCTCTAATCAATTTCAGATTTGAGAGGATTTGGGAGTTTCCAAAAATAAATCAATCTCATTAGAAAGGATTTCAAATTCAATTTAATTGGAATTGGAATTTGAAATTTGAATTCTTTTCAAAGTTAAGATGATATAAATTAGGAGAGTATTTAATTCTTTCCCACATGAGAGGTTTTATTTAAATTAGGAAAGTATTTAATTCTTTCCCACATGAGAGATTTTATTTTGGAAAGCATTAAGGAGGTGGGAACTAGGAGGGGCCGGCGGCACCAAGGGGAATTGGGGGAAATTTTTTAATGGCTTGCCTCTTTGGGAATTCCAAATCAAGGAGGGGAAATTAATTCCAACCCAATTCAAATTTGATTTAGATTTGATTGGATAAGTTTCCTAAAATAGAACTTTATTTTAGGAAACAATTCGAATTTCAAATCTTGATTGGTTGATTGGGATGAAAGCTTTCCCAAAATGATTTGTATGGAAAATGAAAGAAGTAGTGGAGAGATTTGAAATTTGGAGGCAAGAGGGAGATGGGGTGGTTGGCAGCTAGGCTAGGATTAGGGTTAGGGTTTGTGGGTTTTGGAGGCGTGGTGGTGGGAATTAAGTGGATCAACCCATCGGTGAATAGGTGGGAAGGGGAAGGAGTGTTGGTCGGCGGTGGGGCTTGGGCTTGAAGTGGAGGCCGGCAGTTTTGGGTTTGGAAAACCCTAAGTCAACGGCAAGGGGAAAGGGGAGGATGAAAGAAAGGATGAAGAATAACAAGAAAGCCACGAACCCGGACTCTTCCAAGGTTAGTGGGTGATCCTCTTGCCCTTCACCAAGGGACTGGACCAAAGTTCTCTCTTAGAAATCTCACAACTCTCCACAGAAACACGTGTAGGAATTTTTAATTATAATTTATTCATTAACTTCATAAGAGGGAAAAGAAGGCTATAAATAGGCCCTCATACAAGAACAAAACAAAAGACCAAATTACCCCCTTGGGGTTACATGCATCTAGTCCTCAAGTGAGGGTAAAAGTGGAAAAGGACACTAATAATAAAATGCAATATATCAATCAGAAATAAAGAGATGCGCTCGTAGCCGTAGATCATCGTCCTTGTCGCTGATACACTTTTCCATGATCTGATGTCCGCATCATTATCATTAGCTTTTATTCACTTCAGATTTCGTAATTGATCATAAGTGTTCAACACCAAATGCCACTAAATAGTGAACTTGCTAAACTCGATGTTAGGTAATTTTATTTCAAGACTAGGATTAATAACTCAAATTAAAGATATGAAACATCTGGTCATCAAATCCAAAGTGGAACTATGTCAAATTAGTAGCCCAAAGATGCTGTGGACATTGAGGATCCTTCAATATTGTCATGAATTGTGGGGGGGGGGGGGGGGGGGGGGGGGTGTAAGAGTTCAAATATTAAATTGAGCAAATTACTAAATGTTGGACGCTTTACAAATGTAAGTTCACTAAGCTAAACAAGCTAACAATGAGTCTAAGTAAACTTTTAAGTATTCACTCCAAAGACATCAATTTTGGGTGGATCAAATTCTAAGAGTATTCTTAGAAATTAATGCATAAGATGTGAACTCCTACTTTAAATACTTCTCCATAAGCATCTCCCTTCATTCATCTCTCCCACTCAATGAAAATTATATACAAGAAATTCATAGGGGGGGCACATTAATCCAGTCATATCTACAAGACATTATCTCATAAGGCTTCCATTATCCCATAAAGAAACCCAAAGACATGCATGCTTGCTTAAAACCTAGATTATGAAAGGCTCATTTACCGAAAGCATTGAATGCACTAGTTAGTGAAATGAAGAGGAAAACTTATTATCCTTAATTTTACCTAAAAGACCTATCTTTGTCAAGTTTGTTAATTGGACTTCCTTGGGGAATTACCATCTCGAGAATCAAAATAGTTTAGAGTTGGACATTGATGAAGCAATCTGTATTAGTAAGAAGAACTTCAGTGGAATACTTGAATTTGCTTCAAGGTCAAAGAAAATAAGAAGGAAAATTCCTTGTTCAAAACTATCATACTGGTAATACAACAGGCATGTAGATCGAGAGGGAAAGGACACCTAAGAGAGAAAACCGAGAATAGTAAACAAAGGGGTGGCATATTATTCTACTAAAAGTGTAGAAAGTTTAATCATCATTTCCCTTCTCTCCTTTTTTCTTCTTCTTGCAAGTTTAGTAATGTTAGTAACTCCACTGTTTCAAGAATTTATAGGAATAAACCATCCTATAACTTCCGCCATATGGAATAAAAAATATTAAAATAAATCTTCTGATTAAATATAGAAAAGCTTTAAAGGATATCAAGAAATAAATCAAAATTCCTAGCATACCACATGGTAGTCCTAAGTGCACAAAAATATTGCTATTATGGGATTCGAAGAGTAGAAATATGTAGCCTTTGTTTGAATAGTAGAAAAGCTTTAAAGGATATCACAAAAATATTGCACATAAGAGAAACTATTCCTCTGTTTGAAGTCATAACCATGAGAATAACAATGACTACCTAACAAACAATCTACGCAACCCTTTGTCAAAATTCTACCATCTTATTACAAAGAAACTCAAACTTCTATATAGTAATTTCCATAAGAAATTTATCTTAAATTCATAATGCCTTTAGGGAGAGCAGAAAGGGAAGGTAGCATTATCCAGAAGAAATAACTATCTTTAAAGGGACAAAAATATATGAAATTTAAAGCACTAAAAGCAAATGCCACCCAAAAAAAGAATGCAAACATTCCATAATGTCTCTAAATAAATAAAATTTTGGTTATTTTGCACATCAATTTCAAGAAGCAAAAACAAAATGCAATATGCATCCTTAATATAATTAAGTATAATAACTAAGTATAAGAAAATAAAAAAGAAAAATAGCTCATACCTTCTGTATGGTGGTACAACTACAGCATGTTGAGAACTAGCCAAATACTCATCATTCATGACTTCCTTCCCTTTCCCCTTATCAGTAGTCCTGCCTTCAAAACTAAAATGATGCACAGATTTAGAAGAGTTATTGATAGGTATTTTGCTAGAAATGACACGTCCTTCCTCAATCCCTTTAGCCTTTGCATCATTCTTATTTCTTGCTATGTTAAAAGGAGAAATGCACCCATTACGTACTAGCCTTCTATGCCCAGTGTTTTTTGGATGCAAAACCAATTCTTGGCGTCTGTAATTCTGCTGCCTGGTGATAGATTGAGAAACCTTGGCTGGTCCATCCCCTATTTCGATATCAAAGTTTGTAACAATAGGAGATGAAGACGCTCCTTGATTGGCAAGGTTTCTAAGCTCTTCATAATAAGGCTCAGCTTGGCTATTGTTGTTGCCATTGGATAGCTTTTTTTGCTGCACATCTCTTTGTGTGAGACCAATTTCAGGATGTTTTGATTCCAATTGTTCATTTCTAGTTCGTGAATTATCTTGTTGAGCAATCATCTTTTCTTTGCCACTTGAAACCGCGGTCGCGTGACTTTTGACATTTTCTGCATCATTTGAGGTACAGAAGCTAACATATTCTTTTAAAGAGCTGTCTGCATTATTCCTGTCTTTCCTAAGGCCCTCCATTGATGAAGAAGATTTTACACTAAGTTTACCATAACCAGTAATTTGATTTCTTCCCGTCTGCCAGCTTAGATGCTTCTCTTCCTTGTTCCTTGAGCTCCTACATCTAACAGGACTTTCCTGACTCAACTCAATCGCCTTTGGATTTGTCCCATTCTCATTCAAGCCACCAATTTGCCCGCGTTTAGGAGAACAATTACTTGAATGTATTATTTTTCTATTAGCAGGAATGTCAGAGATAACTCGAGCTATTCTGGCTTGCGAGAAGAGAAAATCGTTATCCACTGGCGCTATACATTTACCATTAAAATCATGAGGACCACAATTCTTCATTTGGCGAGAGTAGGTTCTGATCATTGGCTTTGGCTCTAAATATTGATTGGATGAAGATGGCTTATCTTTGATTCCACAATTACGTGAAGAGGATTCACTAACCGAACGAGTAAGTGCTGCCCTCTCAGGCGTGTCTGGAACTTCAATCACCATATCAGAATCCATCCTTTTCAATATACAGACGTGCAAAAATATTGCAGTTGGTCAATATCCAATCCAAAAAATTTCTGTAAGCAAACCTGATACATGAGTAGGGTTGTGTACCAATACTATAAACCTTACAGTTAACTAGTTATTGGAATTGATAGCATAAATTTTCAGAAACTACGAGTACTCAAAATGCATAGCAAAATACAAGGGAAAAACAGCAAAAACACTACCGTAATCATCCCTACTAGAAGATTGTTTAAAAAACAAGAAAAAATTTTCAAATCCGAAAAATAAGGATGAGATATCCAGCAAACCTAAAATGATTAGGGCAAATAATAAAGGAAAACAAACGGGTTGACAGTTGCAGAAATCCAGGGAGAAAAACTAGCAGCGCATCATACTTGTAGCTTGTAAAAACTAACAAATATAAGTACCAAATTGAGCGAAATCAACCAAAAACGATAATTTTTTTAAATGAAGGACCGCATCAAGAACATTAACAGGAACATAATCTTCGAAAAAATTAAAATGATAAAGAAGAAATAAATAATCAATAGAAACAACCTTCTAAGCAGAATCTATGCCCCAGTGGCGGGCTGAATCCCTGCGGAACCACTTCCTTGTCCGCTGCCCTTCCCGGCTATGAGACCATCTTCGCCCTCGTGTCCACACTACTGTACCAACGTCAAGATTCGTGCAATCCAGGTACAGAACGAGTGGCTTTCCAAATAAAGATCCTAAGCATGTTATTATTTTAATATTTTTAATTTTAATTCAAATTTTGAAAGCCGCATATTATGATTATAAGACGATATTTTAAAAACTGAATGGAATGGATCCTAAAGAGAATTAGTTAAAAAAAGAATGATGCATAAAATGCATAAAATGAATGTTGCCTAAAAAGAATATTTTTGAATGATTATAAACTAAATATATGTGAATTATTTTTTTTATTTTGTTTGAAATAAAATAAATATAGTATAAAATTTAATAATGACAACGAGGGATGATGGTCAGGAGGGTGACGGTGGGCGGAGGTCGGCGATGGGTGTTACATGCGATGGTGGTGGTATAGCCGAAGGGTGGTGGCAATGGTGTCCGGTGGGTGTTGGTGGTAGTGGATGTAGGCGATAGTGGAGGCGAGCAGCCAATGGCAATGGTGGTCGGTGGCTTGCGACCAACGTTGGTGACCAGAGGGTGCCGGCGGGGGAGGACGACTGCTGGTGCTATTGGTGGAGGGTTTGACTAAAAAATAAACTAGAGTGATTTATATTATATTTTCTTTTCATCAAACCAAGCATCAAAATTTTCATTATTTAATCCAACCAAATAGCTCGTGACAATAAACTCATGGTAATGTTTTATTTTTTAAAAAGTATTTTAATATTTAACTAATTTGTAGTGCATGTCATTATTATTATTTAAATTAAAGATTTTTTTTTATATCATATGTATATATAATTTAATTTAATTTACATATATATAATTTAATTTAATTTGCATATATACAAAATTATTATATTATATTTTTTCTTATGAAAAAAAAGATTCAACATTTTATATAGCCAAACCTCATAGTGGATTAAAGCTTCATGTTGTTGTTGTATATAATTTTCATATGACATAAATTAGAATTTGAATTCAATTATATATAAAATTATTTGGAACAATTTTTTTATTGCTTCTCTAAAAACTTTTTAATAAAAACTAAAAAAATTATAATAATAAATTATTTTAAAAAACAAGAAAACTGTGCAAAAAAAAAGCCTAAATATATGAATAGAGAATTTTTGATGAAAATCTATGCAATTAAAGGGTATAAGAGAGATAAGATTCAAGAAAACATCAGCGTCCTCCTTTGTAATATCCTTGATCTTGATTAATAAACCTATCATGCAATAATTTCTCAAATCTTACAAGCATCATTGAAGTTATCTTTAAAATATTAAAAAAAAAAAAGGAAAAGTTTTTCATAATAAACTGAAAACTTTAATCAGAAATGTTACAATTTCATTGAATTTGCTTTCAGATGAACGAACAAATCTCAAAATAATTTCAACAAATTTTAAACCCATTCTAATAAAAATTCCTCTTAAATATTTTTTTTTAAACAAAAAGTATACATACATAAATGGAAGAATTAGAAAACAAAAACTCTTACTGGATTGCGAAACATAACGGCTCAATTACATTCAGGCTTCATTTGGGATATCTTTCTTACGGCTTCTTGAACTAATTTTTTATTTTTGTAATAAAAAGTTGTTTTAAGAAGTAGCAGTAAAGCCGTCTCAAATGAAGCTTTAGACTTGGAACAAGAGTTTCAATATATATATATTTATATAAAGCTGCCATTTTCTAACATTCGTGTGACCTTGAAAAATTTACACTCGACCAGCTGAATTCTAAATTAAACAAAGAAAAAGAAGAAGGAAGAGAAGCCAAAAAACGAGCAAATTGCGATCTTCTCCATCGGCTCAGCTTCACAGTGGAACACTGGACTTTATCGGACGAGATAGCCAGGGCTCTGGATTGACTGATTGATCTGCAGATTTAAATATTTTGTATAGATATTAATAGCAGAAAACAATCCATTTTACCTCTATCCTTGTGTTATAATTAAATAATGCATAAGAAAAACAAAATTTCGGTAGAATTAATTGAAGATTTTGAAAGAATTTTTGGCACACTTGAAGAAAGCATTCGACATAATTCTTGTTTTTTTTTTGTTGTTATCAGCAGTTTATGTCAAAAAGTGAATCAAAAGCTAAGCAGAAACTAGCATTTAGCTTTAATATTCATAGACATATATTAAGGCTGAACAGCTTTCTTACTATTTTCTAAAACAGTTTTCTTACTATTTTTCGTAAGTGTAAGCTGCATAAATGGAAGTAGGTGGTGTCAGCTTAGGGTATATTTGGTTTGAGAGAGTTGGGTTAGAAAGTAACTTGTTAGTTAAAAAAAATTAGTTTAAAAATTTTTATACTAAAAAACTGCTTTAAGAAGCAGTAAGAAAGCCATCCCAAATGAAGCCCCCAAGTGTTTGGCTTCAATATGATCAAGACTCAGTTTGGAATGTATATTTATTTCTCTTTACAATTTCATATTTGTTGTTTCATTGTTTGGTTCCAAGATAATTCTAAGGAAAATTAAAATGCTACAAATATATATATATATTTTAATTCAAAATTCTCCTCTTAAACTTAGTGAAAAATAGAAAGAAAAATTCATCAAATTATCATTGAGACTCATATATCTCTTCTTCGTAAGAAAAAAAATTCAATCATTCCTAAATCAAACATGAAATAGAAAAAAATAGATTAAAAGGATCTAAACGAAAAGAACACCATAGACATTAAAACATATATTTAAATGTACCACTAAGAAAATTTTCAAAAAACAGTTATTAGCTTTATATATGGAGATTTCAAAGTTCAACAACAGATGAACGTACCATGGCCACAGGTATCCATCGTCTTGATAATTCTAAGTCGCTTGGCAGTCCGCAAGAACATTCTAAGAAGATGGATAAATGTTAGAGTAAAGAATTAGATGTTCCATGAAAAAACATTCATTCATCAATATAAATCCTATCAAGTTACTTCAAGACAGAAAATAAATGCTAGAGCCTACAAGCAATCAAGCTCATCAATATGTCCACAGTAATCTGTAAATAGAATACATTACTCATAACAAAATTCCAGATATTTCAGCACATCATACGATAGCATATAAGATAAATAATTCAGACTAAGGAGTATTTGGATAGCTTAAGGCTTCATTTAAGACAGTTTTTATTACTTTTTAAAATAATTTTTTAGTTTAAAAATTAAAATTTTTATACTAGACAGCTGCTTTAAGCAGCAGTAAAAAAGCCGTCCCAAATGAAGCCTTAAAGTTTGTATACTAAGAAGCTGCTTTATAAAGCAAAAAGAAAGCTATCCCAAACCCAGCCTAAATCTAAAGATAGCATTCTCCACGGAGATAAAACAGCCACACAAGGCTTTAGATTTACAGAATAAGTTGATTATGAAGTTCCACTGATATTGACGCTGAAGTATTGGCTAAATTCATCTTCAGAAGATGTAAACTTGAACAAGAAGAAAGCCATAAAACATAATTTGGTTCAAGTAACTGAAGTGTATTTAGCATTTGAGGCATCGCTTGCATATCATACCAGAAAAAAAAAGTTGCTTACCCCCAAGGAACATCTCCAACTAGCATCCAGTCTCCATCCTCATCTTCATATATGAGAGAAAACTCAGAAGAACCATTCAAAAGTTTCGAGAACATTCCATCTGTTAACAACAAAATGCATAATTTTTTATCATAATTTTTTATCATGAATCAAATGGAAGAAAGCATGCATGAAGACAACGTAGAAGAGATGCTCACTAGCAGAAGCATTGAGTGAGAAAGTGGGTTTGTGAAACATGGCCTCAAGAGCTAAAGCAAGAGCTTCATAAGAGACATGGGTATGAAGATCCACCTTCCGTCCTATAGGATCTCCATCCATATTCACCTTAACAAAGAGAGATCTCCGAACATGAATGGCTTCTCTTTCACCATCATTACCCCCAATGCCTTTCTTGCCAGCATTGCTGCTGCAACTTTGAGAAATTTCCTTGTGAGTGGTAGCTTTTTCAACAGAATTGGCAACTCTAGATGTGTTAACTAAATTGTTCCTTCTGCATATTCTGATTGGAGGCCATCCCACAACTTGATTGTGGCTGCAGAGAAATTGGAGGTGTAAAAACAAAAATTAGAGAGATTAATGTTTCATTTGGGATAGCTTTCTTACTGCTTTTTAAAGCAATTTTTTAGTACAAAAATTAAAATTTTTGTACTACAAAGTTGCTTTAAGAAGCAGTAAGAAAGCCGTCCCAAATGAAGCTTAAATGCCAATAGTGCATCACTTGTGGGTGCATGAGCATGCACATGCTGGTTTGTATGCATGACTGCATATCCATGCAATTTTTTTTACTTTTTGCAATAGCAATAATAAGAAGGAAATATTACAATAAAATTGAAAAAAAAAATCCAAAATGATGCGAGAGCAAAGGATTGAAATTAATTAGTTTAGAGTGTATTCGAGCATGAATACATGCAGCTTGATGGTTCAGTATAAGAGAACAGGGAGAACACTATAAAACCATCATCTTCAGCATATCCCAACTATTTTGATCAGCATTGGAATTATTCTTCCCCATTCATTCTTTGTTCAGTGCTATAAGAGATGACAAGTTTATTTTGTGCATTTTTTTGGATAACTTTTATCCATATTAGATTTGATTGAACATCTTTTCCTACCAATCACCTCCACGCTGATTCTATTCGCCCCACCTAATTGGCTTGTTATCTACATTCCTTTGCATAAATTCCCAAAACACAAGACTAAGTTTAGTTATATTGTTATTTCGAACGATGCTAATCCCACCAAATCTCTAATAGAATCACACTCCTAAATCATCCTTTCTATCTGTATAACACATCAATTTCAACATTCTCATTCTTTCCAGGCTCGAATTGATTCATTTCATCAATGATTTCATTATTGCCCAACCGTCACTTCATATATCATAACTAATCTAGTTGAGTTCAATAAAATTTACCTCAAGTACTTGGTGATATTTTTTTTATAACATTAAATTGTTGAGACATTCCTTCATTTTAACAAATACCTTTTTAACACTGATAGTGCATTGTCCTTGATATTCATATTTGCTTGTATAATTGATCAAATATATTTGAATATATCACACATATGTATTACTTTGTATTTTAGCAATATTAATCGATACTTACAAACAATATACCCTCTAAAAATGTATATCCTATACTCAATCTTTATTCTATTTATGCCAATCCCCAAAACTTTAGGAAAATTCTCCATTTATTTAACCTCTCAGTTACATCATAAAAGGTCTCACTTCTGAAAATTATATCTGCAAATAGCATACACCAAAGCACCTAACTTAAATCCTTTTAATTTATCCACGAACAATTAAAAAAAAAATACTCAATATTAAACTTTGAAGTTTCCCCAAAAAAGCCAAAAAATAACAACTACTTAGAGGATCAAATATTATAGCATGCTAGTTTTAATTGGTGATTAAATTGGAAAATAATTTATAAATTTGAAAATAATGATACATTCTAATCAGTTATTCTCATACACTAAATTTCATATAAATTGTCTTTGATGATTAGAATACAAGATCCCACCTACAACAACCACAAAGGATTTCCTAATCACAACATATGGTGTTTACTAAATCAGTTAATTAGATACACCATTGATCTCTAAAAATGTCAAAGATGCACAAAGCCATCTCTAAAAATTTGAGCTCTAACGATGCATGATAAGACTAAATATCCTAATGTGATCTTGAGTAAAATGGATTTAGTTTCTATCAAAGATTAAGGTAAAAAACTTAACTAAAAACTCAAACTAAACTTTAAATAAATTAAAGAAAATATTTTCGTAGTTTTTTAGGATTTTAAAAAACAAGAAAGAGAAGATTTTAAGTTTTATATGAATTCATCACATCTAACAAAAGTTCAAAACCAAACGCTAAAAACAACTAAGAAGCTAGTAGAAAGATCACAAATGTAATCAAATTATCACAAACCTAAACTAACACAAAGACATCATAGTCTAGACTAAAGTCCTAACAAAAAGATCTTGAGGGTTATAAAAAAAAAGGAAAAAGTAAAGGGACATCATAGCAACATCTTAACGAGAATTCCAAATAACTATAAGACTCAAGTTGCAAGTAGCTATTTGTGGTGATTATGAGTGCTAACCTTGGAATTCCTTTTATGAGGGATTATCACACACTCTCCTAAAGAAATCGTTCTACGTGGAAAGGGAGTATACAAGAGAAGAGTGGAATAAAGCTTTCTTTCATTTAAGCCTTCATGATGAAAAGTACAATTGAATGGAGGCATTATCAACCACCATCCAATTTAAAAATAATATAAAGAAGACCAAAGGGTGGCCTAGAATAAAGGAGAAAGAGGATAAATTTAAGTGGAGGGTAAAAAACCAGAAGATAAAGAGGAAAATGAAAAGAAAATGTGGTGATTTCCACAAGAAAATTAATGAACACTCAAAGCGTGAGGACGGCCAATGGGGGTGGCCAAGCATGGGAGAAAAAGAATTTTACATCGAATTGACTTGGATGACCCAATAACCGAATAAGAAATTAAGGCCCATTAAGAACCATGACCCAAATACATTAAATAAACTCAAAATATATGCACAACCACTCCTCACCAACTTAATGCCACTTAATATATACAATCTCATAAGTACAAAATTGAGAGTCAAGTACAAGAAATCTATGCTGACATCAATAAAAAAGATGCAGCGATGACAAAGATGCCTTTGATCAATATATTCAGCATCACTTGGTCTACTTGAACATATCAAATCTATAGTACATTTAAATTTATTGGATGCTTTGTGACATGGGTACATAATTGTGCTAGTAGGTCTTGCTTAACAAGAGGTTACCTAATTCCAATCCCATTGTGGAGATTCCAAAGACTGATTTGATACATTGATTTGCATTGTGCGCCTTAGGATCCAAAATAGTTGCTCGTGCTTTGTAAGATAATTGATACATTCATTTGCATAAAACTGCAATACTATATCAGGAAAACAAATCTTATCACTTTAGCGATTCGGCACATTTTGTGCTCAAGATATTCCTCTATTTTTTTAATTCATAACCCAAAACTGGAGCCAACTTGGGGCTCCATTCCTAAGATAGCCCATATGTAAGATGTAGTTTCGTCTGCTAAGTGGTTTAATCACCATAATGAAAAAGAAGGGACCCTCAAACACCACCATCAAGTCAAATGATTGATGTGAACTACAACCACAAATGATGTTTGGAAGCATTAAAAATTAAAACATATCAACTTTGGACTACTCAAGACATCTGATAGGAGGTGCTCGATTACTGCTAAATAAACCAATTATATAAATTTGCTTAGGCCCTCTATTGTTTGTAGACTAGATTAAACAAAATCAACAAAATATGACAAAACCATAGGATATTGCTCATATTGATCATTTATCCCCCCATTATTAACTAAAATTCTAACCACCATTCAGAGCTCATGTGACATCGTTAATTGAGGGCGTTATTGACTTGAGCCTAAAAAATAATTAATCAAAGAGGCTTAGGTTGGTAGAAAAGTTTGTTAGAACTAAAAAAAATTGATTAATTAACCTTAAATCTAGGATAAATCTTGTGGAAAGTAGACTAATATGTCTTCATAATCCCATGCTGCTTTTTCATCCTAAAATTTTTTTAAGGCTTGAAGCTCATAAGCGTTTTAGAAGCCCGCATACACCTAAGCTTATGATAATCTAATTTATAGTTTCAACATAAATAGAAAATGTTCAAAAGTGCATCCCAATGTGTGCGTTTGCATGCACAAACACTTTTATAAGGCAATAAGCAAGTTGTTGGAAAAATTTGTGCAATTTTTTCATTCAAACAGCCCTTGTCGTTTTTTTTTCCTTATCACAAAGCAGCTCCAACTATATTCTAAATCCCAAATGCAAATCCTTAATAAACATTTCATTGGGAAACTAGCCATTCACCATTTTATTTCTATACAAACTTAGTGCCAAACATAAGTATTACTTCTTGAGACAATATTGAGTATCTGAAAGGTAAATTTTCTATTACAGCAAACGCACATTTGGAAAAGTATAAAGTTATCACTTAGACAATAATTTATACCAGATGGATTTGAACAAAAAAGAACAAAGTAAATTTTTTTTTAAAACAGGCTAATGAATGTTTCTCCAGCACAAAACAAGATGATCAAGAAGGCGCTTTTGACCACAGAAAAAGAAGAGAAAACATCATTGCTTGTTAACATGGTATTTGAATAGCAGTATAATTTAGATATTCATGTTATACGGATAACATCTGTTATCTATCATATAGAATGCATTTGGTTCAATACCATCTTACTTCAAACAAGATCATCTTATTTAAAACGATCAATTTTTATCATGACTTGCGAGAATGATTTTGTTTTAATCATTAAATTCATTCATCAAATAATCAAGCATTTGGATGTTACTATATTTAGTTCAAAATTAATTGTCATCCAGCCATTGATATTTATATGAGTATCAAAGGCCTTATATTAACTTTAAGGGAGACTTCGGTCAGGAAATCCCGAGCCAATTTTTTTTTATCTACAAAATTATTATTTAAAGATGTAAGAAAAACACGGTTAATAGAATAGAATAAGATGAATCAAACGAAATACCTGACAGATACATGAATCACTTAAAACCAATCAAATAAACAACAAATCAACTTCCATATGAACTATAAAACAAATATACTTCATATATCACGTTTCACAAATCCAAAAAAAGAAAAAAAAAAACATAGAAATAATGCTTCAAACTTAAAAAAGAAACCCAAAGAATCGATCACCTCAGCGAGTTAGTCGATCGAGCTCCGTTATAACCGATCGCATCTGCTCTCCTATAGCTCCCTCCGCCATCGCCTTGATCCGCTTCATCCCCCAAACCGCCGGAAGAAGATGAAACAGAGGAATTGGAAGATATGGGCGAATCCCGCGACCTCAGTGAAGGAAAATCCTCTGCCGTAATGATCCTTCTTACGCCGCGGCCGAGACTCAGACCCAGCTCCAGCTCATTCGCCCTCTCCCTTGTTTCCGTTGCGCCGGGATCACCGTTTGATGCCCTAGACATCTCCGACGTAGGAGGGTAGCTGACTCCGGCGAACTCGAAAGATCGTCGCATAGGATCACCGCCGGTGATGGAAGCAGGGATGCCGGTTGGGGGGAGGAAGTTCAAGAGATTGTGGGGCTCCGACCTTGCAGGCTTAAAGCAGGTGAATCATATTCCAGAAGTCGAGGACGGCGTCCACGGGTGTATAGCCTTTCCTGTGGCCGCGGCAGCCGGCGACGTGTTGGCGTGGGGCCGATAGTGGACGAAAGATGGCCCACAAGAGCCTTTTTCGTAACCCGTACGACGGCAGATCGAGATTAATTGAATAAAAAATATATATTCATAAAAAATTTTATTCGATGGAAAGGGGTAATAACTAATAAGTTATTTTTTACCCTATTGTTGTTTTTTTTTTTTGAAGCAATCGCATAGATTTAGGATGTAGAGTTTAGCATTCTAATTTTATATAAAGATCTAGCACATGTAGATAAGAAAGGGAGATGGACCATTCATAAAATTACGGGATATTGCCTAATTTAAATAAATCTATTAGTATTTGTTGCTAATTACAAACGATGATCCTCTTTAGCGAAGGCGCTGGCTTAAGGTAGTAAATATATATCATATATAACACTTTAAATTGTTGGGGCTGGAAGAAACAAATATCATGAGAGTTGTTCTCAAAAGAGTGATTACTTGTTCATTTAGTTGGTAGGATTGTGTTTGAGTGACAAAGGTCGAAGAGATCGTAGTTGGACGACGATGGTCGGACGGATCATAAACAGATGACAGTGGTCGGATGGACGGTAGTTAGGCGATGGTTGTCAAAAGGATCTTAGTCGATGGGCGGAGGGTGGTTGGAAGGATGTAGTTGATGGGCGACGGAAGTCAGATAGATTATAGTCGGTGGGAGACGGTGGTAGGAAGGATCATAGTCAGACGATAATAGTAAAAAAGATTGTAGTTAGAAGATAGTCATCAGAAAAATTATAGTCGATGGGCAACGATGGTTGGAAAGACGTCATTGGCGGGTGATGGGGGTCGGAGGGACCGTAGTCGATGGGTGATACTGGTCTGAAGGATCATAATCAAACGATAATGATCGGAAAGGATGTAGTCATGCGACGATGGTCAAAGAGATCATAATTGGTGGGTGACAATGGTTGGAGACCATAGTGGGGCAACGCTGATCAGAGGGACCGTAGTTGGTGGACAACAGAGGTTGGAAAGGCTGTAGTGGGGTGAAGGTGTTTAGAGGGACCATAATTGGTCAATGGTGGTAATTGGGGGAAGACTGCGGTCAGAAGAGCCGTACTCGAGCGACGGTGGTTGGAATAGTGGTGTCAAATAGGTTCTGCGGGTCGGGTTCGGGTCGAACTCGAGTTGACCCAGGTCTAAACCGGTCAACCTAAACCCTACCCATTTTTACAAATGGGTCTGATATTTCAGCCCAGAACCGACTTGTGCAGGTTGCCAGGTTGACCTAACCCGACCCGCGAACTTGATTTGACTATTTTAAGATAGTTTTTAATTGTGTTATTTCTATTTCGATATAATGACTTTGAGTGGGACATTGGATCTTCAATCCTTCAACTCTTCAGTCTTCTTTGGATTTGCTCTCCTTGAATCTCTCCTCCTTGGACTCTTTGGATCTCTCCTCCTTGGACTCCTTGGATCTCTCCTCCTTAGACTCCTTTGATTTGTCGTGGCTTGAATATCCAAACGAAGATATAATTCCCCCATCCAGGGGGTATTGTATTTTCTCTTTGGATATCTAAAGCCATTTAAACTCGATCTTCCAAATGAAAGAAGACTCTCCCCTTTGAGGACGCCTTCTTCTTTTGGAATTCAAGTTGGATAAGAATATCCACACTCAAATCTCATTTTCATAACTCTCATCAATATTACAAATAGATACATTAATTGAAAAGCTATAAATCTAAGATCACTTGCAGGATTATCCTAACAAAAATCTCAAGCATTTATCATTATTCCCAAGCAGTTTTATATGTAAATAAAATAACTCATTGAAGTCACACTTGGCCATGCTCTTAATTATAAGGGCTAGACAGTCTCTGAAGCATATGTAGCATTTATTATTTTATAATTTTTATCCCTCATTTATTTAGGGGGGCTGAATAAGCACCTACACAAAACATCATTAGAAATCATGATAGTTGTTCCCTTTAGCATTGCATGAGCATGGCCACCTGCACAAAAAATAATATATATATATATATATATCGTTCCTAACCTAGGGATAAATCTATCGTCCATCACATCAATTCTCATAGTGCAGTAAAAGTAAGCAAACACATTAACAGTTTCATTCACAATATGTAGTAATATCTCGAAAAACCCAGCACACAGCATAAAAAGTAAATATTGTCCTAGTCTAAGTCTAGAAGTGGCGCCCTAGCAAACAATTTTATGTGTGTGTAAGATTTGTGTGGCTTTGGATAGGTCCTATATAGGATGATTAGTTCCAATTGCTTAAGGTTAGAATCTATTAAAGGCCAGAAAAGGAAACTTTAGTTAAAGTTCAGATATTAGTGAATTAGGATCCATTTTAATTTATCTAGTTTGTTGATCACTTCTAAATACTTAGGGTAGTGATATTTGAAGTTTATATTGTATTAGCCAATTTTGGGAAGTCCACGGTCCTCCTAAGTACTAGGCTGAGGGGTTCAAAAAGGTCACTGCAGGAAATATGCTAATTTTAGGGCTCCTAAAATTTTAGGTAAATACTAGATCTTAAGATGAGTAGTTAGACAGGTAGTTTGCTAGATTTGGAGCTTCCTACGCAAAGTTATGAATTTTACAAGTTTCGGGCCCTAGACTATAGACTGGGGTTGACCAGAAAGTTGACTTTTAGATTTAAGTTAGTTTCTGAAATCCTAATATTTTTTATAAATAATAGACCCTAATTGGAGTTGAATGCAATTACGGCTATGATTCCATCTAGATTGATTTTGGAGGCCAAATGAAGCTCCCAAGCCGTGGTTTTGATTTCAAATCAATTGGGAGACATTAAATGCAATTAAAGGCCTTTAATGGGCCTTAAATAGGTCATATTTGACCCATTATGACTTGGGTTGACCAAGTCAAGCGTTGACTTGGTCAACCTGTTCAAATAGGTCCATGGGAGTGGGGGAATGAGTCAAAGCAAGGTTTGAATTGATTTGAAATTTGATTTGGACTATAATGGGTCTTAAATGGGTCAAAATGACCCATGAAGGCTTGGATTGACCAAGTCAAAGATTTACTTGGTCAACCTTGTCATTTAGACCCATTGAAATGATGGGAATGAGTCTAAGAAGGTTTGAAATCAGTTTGGAATCAAATTGGGCTCAAATAGGCTAAAGGGGTCAATTTGGGTCAACACTGGTTGACCTGGCCAACCAAGTTGACCTAAAACCTTGGTCTGGGCTCAACAAAATCAGATTGGCCATTGAATCCAATTGAGGGGGTGTAGGAGACTAGCTTGGTCAATTTGACCAAGTCAACTTCTTAGTCTAAGGATTTGGCAAAATCAAAGTCAAAACACCATACAAGGCTCCTTATGGGAGGAAATGCAGAACACCCTTGTGTTGGGAAGAAATAAGTGAAAGAAAAATTATCAGAATTAAACTGGTAAATGAGGTTACTAGCAAGATTAGATTGATCAGAGACAGACTAAACGCAGAATTAGACAGACAACAAAAATTTCTATCAGAGACAGACTAAACGCAGAATTAGACAGACAACAAAAATATTATGATGCAAAGCACATACTAGTTGAGTTTGAAGTAGGAGAATTTATTTTCTTAAAAGTTAGTCAAATGAAAGGTGTTCAACGGTTTGGAAGAATGGAAAAATTGAGCCCAAGGTATATATGTCCTTTTGAAATCACATAGAGGATTGGAAATATGGCTTATATATTGCATCTGCCAGTGCATATTGGCATATGCGGGGAATTCATAATGTATTTTATATATCAGTACTTCGGAAGTATGTGTCAGATGAATCCAAGAGAATTCAATTCAAATCAATTGACTTGCAGCCTAATTTAAAGTATGTTGAGGAACCTGAACAAATATTGGACTATAATATAAAATAGTTGAGGCATAAGGCAATACCTTTTGTGAAAATTTTATGAAAGCATGGATCATAAAGAGATGCCACCTAGGAGAAGGAAGATGAAATGAAAAGTTAATATCCTCATATATTTAACTAAGATATGTTTTCTTTCTTTTACTTGATTTAATTTTGAGGATAAAATTTTTATAAGAATGGGATATTGTAATGACCGGTTGGGTGGTCGGTTCAATCGAACTGGCCAACCTGCCTATAAACATTCACGACCCCAAAAAGGGGTTGGAACTGTTGCCATATGCGAACAGACCGAGGCAGCAGCAGGGCGGGCTGAAGGCTTGCGTGGGAGGTTTGGAGAGTTTTCCTTTCTGTTTTTTTAGCAAATTTTCATAATTAGGGATGAATATTGACAACTCCTCTTAACTCCTTTCCTTTTCTTACCGCTTAATGAGTGATAAATTTGGAAGAAACTAGAGGAATGATTGAGGAAGGAGGAAAGAAGGTTTGTTGGCTTTTCTTTTCATTTCTTTTTATAAATTATGTTGTTTTACTTCATCTTAAGCAAAAGATGTTTTATTAAGGATGAGGAAAATATTTGGAAGCGAGTTGAAAGGATTTTGGGAGAGAAAGAAGAATTTTTGGTAGTTTGAGAAAGTTCCCATTTGTAAGTGAATTTCATGTTGTAAAATTTTATCTAAATTTTGTTATTTAATTATATTTTCATGAAAGTTATATTGTATGAATTTTAGGATTTTAGGAAAAAAAAAGATCGAGTTGTAGAAGTTGAGCTCTCAAGGAATTCAACAAGAATGAAAATTTGAGGCTGAGGTAAGAATCGCTTAAATAGATGTTATTGAGAAGTTCGATGAAATTTAACAACATGTAACTTAACTTATTGTATACCTCCTTAGGTGGTGATGAAATCAAATACTTGGAAGATTTAAAGTGGGTAATTATAATTGTGTATAAATTTTTTTATTGCATTTTCATATTCTTTGGAGGGAATATATATAATAATGACAAGTGATTTCTATCATGTATAAATATTTTTATATGTTATTGTCAAATGTTTTGTTTAAATTTTAAAGTGATGTTTATTTTATCTTTTGATGTTATTATGTGAAAAGATTCAAATGAAGGATATACATGAATATGTGAAGGAAATAGATATATGATACTCAAAGACATAAGAAATAAGCAAAGAATGGTGAAAGAATAAAATGACATATATGATAAATAAATGTATAAATGAAAATGAAAGGGAAAAGGATATGCATGCAAACTACAAAAATTTACCCCCTTATGGTATTGTCTTCAAAGATTTAGAAATGACAAAAAGAGAAGAGTTCGTCTATAGAATACGATGTACAACTAATAACATATATTTTATGATTTGAAATAAATGTTAAGTATTTTGAGAAATTTTTGTTAGCGCTCTTCAGATAAAAGAAAAGAAAAATTGATGTTTTAATGTTGTTTTATTTATGAACTGAAAAGATTAGATCATATCGTCCGACTTTTAGTTCCCATATCATTAAATGGAGCATGCGGGCCGGGTCGTGGCAGTAGTCGACGAGTGGTGGAGGTTAATGGAACCGTAATCAATGCGAGTCATTAATTATAAGGATTATAGTTGGGCAAGAATGATTGAAAGGGTTGTAGTTAGGTGACAGTGGTCGGAGAGATCATAATCGGCGGGTGACGCAGGTCAGAAGGATTGTAGTCGGGCAATGATGTTTGGAGGGATCATAGTCGGGAGACAGCAGTCAAAGGGATGGTAATCGGCAGGCGGCGAAGGTCAGAAGGATTATAATCATGTGACGGTGGTTGACGGAATCGTAGTTGGCGAGCAACAGATGTTAGAAGGGTGGTAGTAAGGTGAATGGTCAAAGGAACCATATTTGGCGGGCAATGGAGGTCAAAAGGATCGTAATCTGGCAATGTTGGTTGAAAGGATAGTAGTTAGGGTGATGGTGTTTAGAGGGATCGTAGTCGGCAGGCGACGGAGGTCAAAAGGATCATAGTCGGGCGACGATGATGATAAGAGAGTAGTAGTCATCAGACGATAGTGATTGGAGGAAGGACCGGCAATGGCTTCCATATGGAGGTCAAACAACGATGATAAGGTAGAGGTCTAGTAACGGTGACCTCGTAGTGCAGATTCGTTGGTGTTAGTGCCGAGGTGGGGCTTTAGGATTCTTCAAGTGCTCTTGTTTTCTTCCTCTTCTTTTTATGTGAATAATAAGGATATATTTATATTTTTTTAGGAGTGACATGCGTAGTAAACATGAAAAAAATCTAGGACAATTTGGAGTGGTATATTGGACAACTGGTATCAATCCCCTCGATTATAGAACTTTCTTTGAACAATTATATCTCATAACGATGTCAGAATTAGGTGATCTTGGGCTTGTTGGATTCCTCTCATCGAGCCACTCGATTCGACTATAACCATGTCATATTTATATATCATTTGGTCATCCAATTGATGCTCTAAATCTTTCAAATATGTTTAGGTCCTTTGATTTGGACTCATTTAGGCTCGGATTTAACTAAATTTTGTGTCATTGGATTCGTCTCATTGAAATGTTCAATTTGCCTATAATCTAGCTAAAATTGGAGTTTAGACAGTCCCAATTTTATTCCAGAAATTTTCAATTCAAATTTGCATCGAGATCCATGCCCGATCAAAACAATTTTTGGTGGCGCATCAACTATAATAAAAATGGTATTATCAAATACAAAGAGACCAAGTAGAGAAAGAGAATGAAGATTTATTTTTCTCTCTGTATTATTATCTAATTCCTCAATTAATGAATTTTTTTGTGTGTGTGTCTGTTATTGTTCAAGAAATTAAGATTGCATATTACCAATCTCACTTTCTATCCATGTAGATGACAGAGATTTTGTGCAAGCAAATCCTATTTGTTGATCAAAACCTAAGAGTAGGGAATATTAATTGCAGAGGAAGAACTCACCGAAAGTAAAAGCATATCTATTTTGTTTGATTTATCTAAATAAAAGGCTTCAGAAAAAAAAAATTGTATGAATTTATTTGAAAAGTTAAGTAATAATCTTTTATTAATATGAAATGTAGATGAATAGTTGCATAGATGGACTCATGGTTGAATAATCACTTTGTTCTTCTCATATCTTATTGTCCATATTCATTTAGCCAATAATTAGAAGTATAAACTAGTCGAGTCGAGCCGAATTCTTGTCTCGATTTGAGTCGAATTCGTATTTAATAAATACAAGCTCGTTTATTTTATACTTACCCCCGATCTCAAGCTTATTTGCTTGGCTTGAGCTCGACTTAATCGCTTGAGTTCAATAAAAAAGCTAGATTTCGATTTGTCCAATGCATACTACTATAAAATTCCTCTCTATTTTGCTCAATCATCATAAATTATATTTTTTTTGTCTCCAATTTTTTAATTAAATTATGGTCCAAATTAACCAAATGTCGAGCGCAAGGCGCGGGGTCGGGCGCGGTGTCGCACGCGGGGTCGGAGCGCAAGGCGCGGGGTCGGAGTGGTTAGGTTAAAACGGGTTGGCGGGTCAACCCAGCAACCCGCCGGGTCAACCCGAACCCGACCCGTTTTACAAACGGGTCGAAATCTCTAACTTGAACCCGACCCGGTTCGGGTTCGGGTTGACCCAAACCCGAAATTTTCGGGTCGGGTTCGGGTCGGGTCAAATGTTGACAGCTCTATTCATTCTCCCAATACTTTGCAATTTTTTCTGTATTTTTTTTTTTTCTTTTAAGTTCTTGACATTCATTTCCTGTTTAAAATTAAATGATGTTGCTCATATAAACACCAATTTAAGAAGCAGCTTCTGGATGTTATCACAGTTATACCCTCAACTATCAATCACCTTTTTGATTTACTGAACCAGTCTGCCATTTTCTCAAGGAAGTGATACATTTTTATGAAATGATAAAAAAATAGGTTTAGTTTGGGATAGTTTTTTCTCTGCTTCTTAAAGCAGTTTTTTAGTACAAAAATTAATATTTTTGTACTAAAAAACCGTTTTAAGAATCAGTAAAAAAGCCGACCCAAATGAAGCCTCTTATTGCTTCTTAAAGCAGCTTTTTAGTTGAATTTTTAATTTTTTGTGTACTAGAAAGTTGCTTTAAGAAGTAGTAAGAAATTCATCCCAAACGAAGCCTAGAAAGCTGCTTCTTAAAGTAGTTTTCTTATATTATATGATGTTTTGAAGGTGAAAATTGTTGTTGCATTGAAGCTGGAGGTGTTGTGCATAAATTACTTAAGTTTCATTTGGAATAATTTTTTAACTGTTTTTAAAATAATTTTTTATACAAAGTTTTTAGCTTTATAAATTTTTGTACTTAAAAATTGTTTTAAAAAGGAGTAAAAAGTTGTCTCAAACAAACTATTAATTAGTGAATTGCACTTGAAGCAGCAATTATACTGTCGCCATTGAAGTTTTAAATTGGGTCATATTGTGCACCTGTGCCTACATCTCAGCCTAACTCCGGAGAGATCATTAGTTACGGAGTGCGGACGGGGAGAATCGTCTGCACAAGTATTGGGTACCTAGCGGTACCCGTACTCGGTACCGCTGGGTACCGCTAGGTACCCAGTACTTATGCAGACGGTGCGAAAATCGCACGTAATAATTATCCCTAACTCAAAGGTAGAGAGTGGTGGTGCTCATTCACCAGCACCAGCACCTCTAACAACACCATATTATGCCATTGCTAAAGACAAGCCAAAAAGAGATATTAGAGCTCCCCGGGCAAAGGAGAAGCTGATGATTATTAATTCTTGAATGTGGCTAAATGTATTAATTCCAATGAAGAAATTTCTACCTACTTAGACCATCTCCAATGAAAAATCTTATTTTTCACTCCAAAATGCCACGATTCATCTCCAATCGAACTCCATTTTGCGAAGGTAAATGTCTTTCTCTGCTTTCGCGCATTTCTTGGGAAGTTCGGTAGAAGCAGAAAAATAGCAACGATGAACAGTGCAACGTCAATATTGGCATCCCACTGTTCACCCGCAAGGAAAATAACGAAAGTTTTATCATTCGGCTGGAAGATCTGGGGGGACGGCATTCAAGCATTTGGAGTTCCGTTAGAGATGCTCTTAGAGGCAATTAGTTCTAAAATTTTAGGTTGATAAATGATTGCCATGCAAGATGTGCTGCAATTGCTTCATAAGAATAGCACATGGGACTTATGCTTTGTTTGGGATAACGTTTGAGACAGCTTTTTTCCTACTTCTAAAAACAACTTTTTAGTAAGAAGCAATAAAAAAAGCTATTCCAAATAAAGCCTTAGTTTGGAGCGGCTTTTTTTACTGCTTTCTAAAACAGTTTTTTAACACACAATTTTTTTCCTCTCTTAATTTAAATACAATTGGAGTCAGTATAACAGGTTGATCCATAGGAGCTTGAGAGTGGGAACATCTCATGACATTGAATTCCAATTAACAACATTAATAATCAATAATTTAATACTTTTATTCCAATCAAAGTGTTGAATACCAGCTCACTTAGCTTAAACCACTTCTATTCTCTATCTCAAGCCTAGCAATTTCAACTAGCAGAAATAATAGCCCTCTATCTTTCCCAGCCACAGCTTGACACACTCAAATAAAAGCACTAGCCTAAACATACATATATATATATATGAAGCTGATAAAAGTAAGTAGTCTATTAATCAAACGGTGATTTAGCCTTAGAATAAGAGAAAAAGCTGGTAGATGAGAAGTTACTGTTATTGATGATGCTACTATTGCCATGGCCTTGCAGGCTTTGTGCGAAGACAGAGGTTGCCGATGTAGTTGCGTTCATGGCCGGCACCGGAGATGGCAACGGAGAAGGAGAAGAACCCTTCAGGAGAACATCCACCTTAGCATAATCTTCCCTTTCAAGTCTGATTTCCTTGAGCATTGCGGCCACATCCTTCATGGTCGGCCTCTCATCTGGGGTAGGATTGACGCAGAGGAGAGCCACCCCCAGAGCTTGGAGCATCTCCTCCACCTCTGAGTCTGACCGGACGCGGAGGCTGACATCAAGAACTTCAGGATTCCCCTTCTTCATTCTTACCCAATCTGCTAAATGTAGACCATCTGGAATTGTAGGGTCAATCGGTTGCTTCCCTGTTAATACCTCGAGAACCACCACTCCATAGCTGTACACATCGCTCTTCTCAGTGATCTTCATCATGTAACCATATTCTGCATTTGAAATCATCAATCAGAATCATGACTTGCAGATATATACGCACAAAATGCTAATTTAGGGCATCTCCAACCAAAACCCCATTTTCCACCGCAAAATACCGCAAAATTCCAAAATGCGGTAATTATGCTCCGGGCTTCATCATCCCGTAACTGTCTTTCTCCATTTCGCGGGCAAATCCCAACCCACAAAAATTTAGCGGGTGAACAGTGCGTTGGCGTTGCACTGTTCACCCGCGATGAAATAACAGCAAAATTATCGCTCGGTTGGAGCAAAGGAAGAATTATCTCTCGGTTGGAGCAAAGGAAGAATGGCAAATAGGTGTTTGCCATTCCATTGAAGATGGTCTTAAGTGCGCATAAAATTTAGTAGTCCATATGTGCGCGCGGGAACTTGAACATTCAAAACAAATTCATGACTATAAAATGCTATTTGCCTTCAATAGTTAAACATGTTTGACAGAGATAATAACAACAGGCAAGAAGGGAAAAAGGATTGCAAACCAGGAGCTATGTAGCCATAGGAGCCTGCAATGGTGTTCGATGATCGGGCAAAGTCTCCCTCCTCCACGAGCTTCGCCAAGCCAAAATCTGCAATGTAAGGCTCAAAGTCGAGGCCGATCAGAATGTTGTTGGCCTTGATATCCCTGTGGACAATTGGAGGGATGCAATCGTGGTGGAGATAAGCCAGTCCCTGTGCTGCCCCAAGTATAATCTGATACCTGAGATCCCATTCCAAGGGGCATCCATTCCTGTCATGAAGCAATCCGCCAAGGCTCCCATTGGCCATATAATCATACATCAGCAACCTTGTGCTCCTGTTCCAGCAACAGCCTAAGAACCTGACAATGTTCTTATGCCGGATCGCTCCCAGCGTCCTCACCTCGGCTGAGAAAGAATCCCTCACTCTAACACTGTTCCCTTCATCTTTGCTCGTCGTTGCCACCCCACCGGTACTCGGCCATAGCTTCTTGACAGCAATCACTTCGCCATTGCCCATGCTCACTCTGTAAACTATGCCTGAGCAGCCTTTGCCGATTATATTGGCATCAACCAAACTGTGGACAACCTGTTCGACGGAAAAGCTCAGTTTTTGAAATGGAGTGAACTGCCACGGCCAAGTCATCTCGCTGCGGAGATCTGGATCTTCATTTTCTCCACCTTTCCCTCCACTCATTCTCTTTGCTTGGATCACTCCCAGCATTCCGAGGACCATTGCCACCGTAATTGTGATAAGGAGAACAATGGCAAGCTTCAGTTTGTGCAGTCTCCGGCTTTCCTTGGTAGTGGATGTTACACCATTGACATTGCTGCTCACGAAGCAGACGTCTCCATCGTGAGTGCAGAGGCCTTCGTTGCCAGCAAGGTTCGAAGCCGAAAGCTGATGGAAGAGCTTGGTGTCAGGCAGGTATCCGGTGAAGTTGTTGTTGGAGACGTTTAGAACGATCAAATTATCGAGTCCAGCAAGCTCGGCGAGGCTGCCGTCGAGGTTGTTGTAGGAGAGGTCGAGCACGGAGAGCTTGGCAAGTTTGGAAATATTTACTGGAATCGGACCAGTAAGCATGTTTCTGCTCAAATCCAAGGCAATATCTAGCCCTTCGATCTCGCAGAGCTCATCCGGGATGCCGCCAGTCAAGCGATTGTTGCTCAGATCAAGCAGTTCGAGGCTCAAACAGCGAGAGAGAGATGATGGGATTGGCCCGGAGAGCAAGTTTCCTTCGAGTATCAGTTTGTTCATAGACGCCAACTTCCCTAAGCTCTCTGGTATCGGCCCGCTAAATTGGTTTAAGGATGCGTCAAGGATCAGGAGGCCGGTAATGGAGCCTAGTGATGCAGGGAGCTCGCCAGAGAGAGTGTTGTTGCTTATATTAAGCATTTGGAGCTGGGAACACTTTCCAATCTCAAACGGAACAGTGCCAATGATCCGGTTGCTGGAGAGGTCGAGAAAGTTGATTCCAGCAAGGCCGCCGATTTGCAAGGGAATGCGGCCTCCAATGCGGTTGCAGCCGAGACGTAGGCGGACAAGGGAGCGGCATTGACCTATTTCCGGCGGGATGGCGCCGGAAATGTCATTTGACAGGAGCAACAACTTGGTGAGGTTTTGTAGAAGGAAGAGTCCCGGCGGAATGGAGCCCGTGAGATGATTGTGGGAGAGGTCTAAGGCTTGGAGGCTGGTGAGGGAACCGAAACTGGAAGGTATGCTTCCCTCGAGCTGGTTCTGCCATGCGAAGAATACAACGAGGTTCGAAAGTTCACCGAGCTCCTGCGGGATTAGGCCAGATATTTGATTCGTGTCGAGCTGCAGCTGCGAGAGCGATGTGAGCTTGGAGATAGAAGGGGGAATCGATCCAGAGATCTTGTTATCGCTAAGCATAAGTTCTTGTAGATTAGTTAAACCTCCAACGGAAAGCGGGATGGCGCCAGAAATCGAATTGATGGAGAGATCAATGACCTGGAGGGAGGAGAGGTTGCCAAACTGTTCCGGGAGGAATCCGGAGAGCGAGTTCTGCCAGAGAAGAATCCGCTGCAGATTAGATAGTCTGCCGAGCTCCGGCGGGAGCGAGCCGGAGAGCGAGTTCTCGTACAGAAACAGATTTGTGAGCTCAGTGCAGTTGCCAAGCTCCGGAGGAATGGGACCTGAGAGCATCGCTGTGTAAACAGACAGCGTCTGCAGATTGGAGAGGCGGCCAATCGAAGCGGGAATAGAGCCAGAAATCTTGGTATCTGCAAGGCCAAGAACGGTAAGATTGCGGCATTGGGAGAGGGAATCCGGAATCTGACCAGAGAGATCGCGGTTTCCGCCGGCGCGAAGGGTTTGCAGCCTGGAAAGATTACCAACGGAATCGGGAATGGGGCCGGACAGGCGGTTGTCGTAGAGAAGAAGGTTCAGGAGAGCGGTAGACTCTCCTAGTGAAACGGGGATCTGACCTGACAATAAGTTGGAGTTGAGAATGAGAGACTGGAGCAACGGAAGGCGGAAGAGAGAGGCGGGGATTGGACCAGAAAGAGAATTGGAGCTGAGATCAAGTACTGCAAGGCGGCGGCAGTTGGAGAACGAGGAAGGAATGGAGCCGGTAAGGTTGGAAGCGGAGATGGAGAGAGAGGAAAGGGAGGGGAGCGAGAAGCAGAGGGTCGTGGGGAGGGGAAGGGCGAGGGGGGTGGATATGATGGAGATGGAGGAGACGGAGCCGGCGGAGTCGCAGGCGACATGGGTCCAGTTGCAGGGGGAAGAATCCGTTGGGTTCCAGTCGGGGAAAGGGGAAGGCGATTGGCCGGAAGTGATCCAGGTGAAGAGCGCGGTCGTTTCTGGGTTCGGAGAGGAGAACGATGGAGAGAGGAGGAGGAGGGGGAGGAGGTGGAAGAGGAGATAGTGGAATCTCGACCTCGGCATTGGAAAATCGCCGGCTTTGTGTTTTTGGATGGAAGGGGGGTTCTTATTGTTGCATTGGGTCTCCCTCCCTTCGTTCTCGAGGAGAACACACTAGCAAGCAGGAAGCGGGAAGCAAAAGGAGCGCAGGAATCCAAGAGAGACCAAAATATTTTGCAAGAGTTATTTTTATTTTTTTTAAATACTATTTATGTTTAAAAATATTTAGTGAGTTCTTATTTTATTTTATTTTTGAAAAAAAAATATATTATTTATTTTATATTTGAAAACATATTACAGGATTAATTAATAATATGTATTTTTTAATTTGATTGTACCTAGCTAATTTTTTTTTTATTATTTTTTTTGTATACTACAACAATCAAATGTTTCTATTTATGCTAACATTCAGGTTTAAAAATAAACTACTTATCTATTAAATATATGTGTTGTACAATCAAATTATAAAAAAAATAAGAAATCATAAAAATGAAAATTCAAAATTTCGCTATGCTCTTCGAGTTTTTAAATTTATAAATCTTAAATTTAAAAAAATTTCAACCGGTCAAAATTGGGCTTTATACATCAATAATAAAATATATTTCAAATAAAAATTTTATAATATATATATTAAATTTGAAAATTTATATATATTTACACAAATAAAATGAAAATTTCACATTAACAAACCACACATAATCATTCAATGAGATAACCCTAATCTCTCAAACCTTTTATAGAGAATTGAGGAGAGAGTGGTGAAGGGGAGACAGGGAGCATATGGTGGCAGAGTTAGGTGGTGAGGTCAAAATGATTAGATATATAAAGTTTGTGCTAATTAATATTATAATAAGATTTCGTAACAAAAGTATTGTTATATATGGGTTCGGCTTAGATGGCTTCCTATTGGGCTTCGGCCCGGCTCACCTCGGGGTTTTCATCAGGGCTTATTTAATTCCAAAGCAGTCCAGACTGGGCCTCCATTTGGATTGGTTCGGCCTGGATTGAGTTCGAATGTAGTGACGTAAACCAGAGTTAGTTTAGCTAATAGGGTTGGTCACAATGGCATATTTGTAAATAGAGAAATTGGATTATATTATATTTGATATATTCGAATGGATTCTGGCAAGCCAAGTTGAGAATAGAGGAGTTATTGATAGTAGTTTAAGGGAGGAGCTTATGATTAATTCGAATTGTCTGGTTAAGAATACTATGATTTATTTTCTTAAATTGTTTTTGTGCAATAAGATTTGAATATGATATTTGGTGATTTTGTTGTTAAATGATTTCGTTGCATAAAGATTCATATTATTCTATAAGATGCTAATGACATAAAAACGTACTCAAACATAGAATAATTAACTTTTTTTGTTTTTTAGACTTCATAACATCATGGTTGATTTAATTTATTTATCAACATTAATATTCGGACACAACTCATCATGGTATGTTGGTAGGGAGCTTAGGTTATCTAAATGTGTCAATATTTCACACGACCTGAAAGCACGACATGAACCTAACCCAAAAATTTCGGGTTAAGGTCAATTCGCTTGTGAAACGGGTCGGGTTTAGGCTCAACAAATCAACCCGTTTCAAAAATCATATCAGGTTCGGTTTGACCCGAAAACCCTGGAATGACTCGAAATGACCCTTAATGAACGCATGACCGCGCCTGCCAGCCGTCGCGTCGCCCGCTAACACGTTGCTTGCTGTCGCATCGCCACTTGCCTACTAAGCATGCCCGCATGGTAGATTTACGGGATTTCGATAAATAAACTTGCGAACGAAGGACATATTTACGATATTTGGCTAAATACGCGCACAAATAGAGGGAAGAGTTACGTGATTTGGCAGAATAAGCGCGGGAACGGTTGACTTACGGGTCGGGTCGTGTTGACCTAAACAAGAAGCTAATCGGGCTCGGGTCCGAAAAATTGATCTGTTTACAAAATTAGGTTGGTTCTAATCAGGTTGAACAGTGTCGGGTCAATTCTAGGTTCGACCCGAACCCGACCCGTGACCCGATTTTGACAGCCCTAGCTACCAACTAAGAGGTCTTGGACTTGAGTCTTCTGTATGTGATGTGTGTGTGAGTCTACCCAAAATAACCAAAAAAAAAGTAATATTCAGAGTTCTAAAATTTTTTAAAATATTATTATGATGTTAATACACTATGAAAATATATTATCAAATTATTTTGTTTTTTTAATAATTTTCTTAACTATTACTATCACATGATAAAAATATTTTTATTGAAATTTAATTTTAAAATTATTACCCTAATTTGATCATCTCAAGCATGTGCTCCATCATTGTGATAGACTGATTAGGCATCATCACTCCTAATAACTTTACATTAAATATCATATAGATGCCAAATAACTTATTTAATATGAACTATATCAGTCTAATTAAAGCCATTGACTCCAAAGGCAAAGCATCTTATAGCCCAAAACCCCACTAAGTATTTCCTCTCATTTCAAACTTACCCTCATCCCAAGACCAAAATCACATGACCATTGATTCCATTTTGCACCCACCCATGTCCTTCTTTGTTGTTCTCTTCCTACTTTTTTTTTAAAAAAAAAATACTATATATAAATAGAAAAAATTTACTGAAATATTCTAATTAAAAATATTATTATGAGAAAATTATCATATTGATTTTTCATGTATTATACTAATTTAAAAATAATTTTAAGCTTTTATATCCATCTTGAACAAATTTTAATCTAAATAATTAGAAAGAAAATATAGTGAAATTAAGGGTCTATTTGGGAAGAAATTATTCGGTTCGGACACTGGACTGTCCGAAGGTGAATTAGAGCGCACCATGTCACCTGGTATATAGCGGGTATATAGCTGCAGTACACAACAAATGAGTGACGTGGCACGCTCTGATTTGCTTCCGGACGGCGTTCGTTGTCCGCACATAATAATTTTTCCGTTTTGGGATAGCTTTCTTACTTTTTAGATAGTAATAACAAATTTATTTGACTGCAATTTTCTTATTGCTTTCTTAATGTTTTTCAAAAATTTATATGATAGATAGTTTTTGTTTTTCGCTATCCTAATAGCTAAATTATTTTATCCACAATAACTTTATAATCAAATTTATATAATATTACAACAGTCCCAAATAGACAATAAGAAGATATATGACAACTATAAATTCGAGCTTATTTAAAAGGAATTGATTAGGCTAAAAGAGAAGCATGATTTGAGGATGTCCACAACTCAAAATATTCAATACAGAGAAGACAAAATTCTTAGCTTATTTTATTCACATGTAGGCACTTAATTCTTTACGATAGTATGTATAGAATACAAAGACTCAAAATAATTGATTACCAATCGAGGCTTATAGTGGTTGATGGGCTAGCACGGCTGGGAATCCCCCATCCCGGTTCGAATCTCCTCTACTACTACGGGAAATTATTGTGTTCTGACACTGGACACAACTTACGTTCGGTACTACTCGGTACTGTGAAGTACTGAGTACCGAGCTCAGTACTGATACTGTTTGGTACTGCTCAGTACCGAGCTCAGTACCAAGTAGGAGGTGATGTAGAGCATTTTAATTAGCTCCGGACGTCGTCTGGTGTCCGAACCCAATAATTTCCCACTACTACGGTCTCACCTCTTTATTGGGACAAAGCTAGTGTGAGTCTAATGCTGATGGGTGACCTTGCCAGGTTCCGCCAAGGGATTAGTAACACCGTCAAACATTCCCTTTGGGAGTGGCAGCGAGTATATATCCCTGTTCTAAAAAAAATTGATTAAATATCTAATAACAATTTAATAATCACTAATTACTTATTAACGTTAAGAATCTATAATAATTTTTTTTACCTATTTAATATAATTATAGCCCTAATAGATTGCCTAATTTTGTTCTTATATTATATTATAAGTGCTCATTATTTGGACAAAAAGGCAAAGCAAAAGCCCACAAAACGAAAAAGCGAGCGGCGAAGAGAGACCACGCAGCCCTTGTTTTAAGCGTTTGTGGCCTCGGGACCTCCCCCTTAATAGAATCTATCCACGTTATCCACTTCCCTTTCTTATATCATAAAACTTATATAAATTTAATTATTCTTAATTTCTTATCACATATTTTATATAATAACGGTGATTGGCTTATTGGGTTTATTTTTTAAACAAAAAAGGAATTGTATTCCAAACACTAAAAGGGGGATACGATTAAGTTAAAAAAAAAAAACAGACTAAGTCAAAAATACATAGCAACAAAATCAAAGATGAAATAACAAAAGAGGAGAGCGCAAAAGCCAATTGAGCTCAGTCATTGGCAAGAAGCTATTTGTAACCACTCTGAATATAGCAAGGGCCATCGAGAAGAGAAAAGAAGTAACAGCCCACACAACATCAAAAGGCCAATCAAAAACTCACAATCCATATAAAGGCCACCAATGAGAAATAGATGAAGCACCACTAGTGGTTGACAACAAGTTGTAACCATCCAAGTGGCAATATACAGTAGTCACATTATTGCTCGTACCACAAAACACAAATCAAAGACAGAAGCCATCCCCAACATAGTAGACCCCAAAAGAAGACCAAATCCATGGATAAAATCATTTCTTTTTTTATGTATGTCATGTATGCTTGCCACGAGAATTAGAAAAATCAACTTTAGTAATTTAAAGAATACTTAAATCAAAATCATCCAGAGAATTCATTTCTATCCCATTGATATATACCCCACCATTACAAGAAATATCATCAACTAACCAATCATCATGCATCACCTCATGATCCCACAATTGACAAACTAGATGAACTAATAAAGCATCACTGATAATAATGGAAATAGACACTTCAATAATTTGACACATCAACCTTATTAGCCACAGGATCCAATCTATTAGGAAAATAATCACAAAGACAAGAGGGGTTATTCAAATTAATACCAATCTCATCCCTAACAACGTGCACCATCTCACCCACAGGTGGAACATCCTCTTGGACAGCAGGACCCATAGGAGCATGAACATCCACAACAACACCACAATTCCCATGCACCCGAAG